GAAAATTTATATATCTTTTAGGAACATAATTTTATCTTGGCAAAATATCTTGGTAGGGCAATTTGGGAATGTCATTCGGACCTCATTAATTTCAGGGGTGAAGGAGAAAAGGTTAACACCTTTGTAATTTTTAAAATAACATTTTATTGAGACAATGCACATTCAAACAATTCCTCCATTTGAAGTATGCAATTTTTAGTATAGTCACAGAATTATGCAACTATCAACCACCATTTTTTTATTGTATTTATTGTGGTAAAAATATATATAACACAATATTTGCCAGTGTAACATTTTTTACATTATCATTCAGTGGCACTGGTTACATTAATCATGCTGTGCAACTATCACCAGTATCCATTGACAAATTTTCCACCTCCATTAACAGATACTGAATACTTCCTATACATCACCACAACTTTAGAACATTTCATCACCCCAAAAAGAAACCTCATAACCATTAAGCAGTCAGTTTGCATTTTCCCCAGCACCCCAACCATAAACAAAAACCAAACTCACTGCCCCCAAGTCTATTCTGACTCATAGCGACCCCTCCTTGGGTTTCCGAGGCAGTATCGCTATGGAAGTAGATTGCCCCGTGTTCCTTCTGAGGAGTGGCTGGTGGGTTTGAATTGCCAGCCTTCTGGTTAGAAGTCAAATGCTTTAGATCCTACACCATTAGTCTTAATTTCTGTCTCTATAAATTTGCTTATCCTGGACATTTCATATAAATGAAAGCATATATTATTTAGGCTTTTGCATCTGGCTGCTTTCACTTAGCATATAATTTTCAAGGTTCTTCAATATTGCAGCATACATCAGTACTTCATTCCGTCTTTTATTTGTAGAATAGTATTCCATTGTATAGATACACCACATTTTGTTTATCCATTTATCAGTTGATGGATATTTGGGTTATTTTCACTTTTTGACTATTGTGTATGATGCTGTTATGAACATCCATGTACAAGTGTTTGCATGCACTGTGCTTTCATTTATCTTGGATATATACCCAGGAGTAGAACACTTCTATAATTAATTACTCATGTTTACTTTGTCATCATTGTGAAATAGAGATCCATTGCACATTGCCTGCCTCCTTCCCTGTGGTACATCAATATATCCTATACTGATAACATCATGCCCCCTACATAATTTTGGTAGTTGTAACATGAAAGGGGTAAAACTAAAAAGCCTACTTACTCTTTTAAAAAGAGTATTATATTGCATATTTTGCTAAAATGAAATTTGAATAACTCAAATTGTGCCAGTGGAAAGTAAAAAACAATAATTGTTAGCAATCTTTGCAGTGCTGGCAAATAACACACCTTACTCCTTTATGTGATATTTAGTGTCTAGTAGAATCCTGTGAAGGAGCTCTGGTAGCACAATGACTAAGGCATCTGACTGCTAACCAGGAGGTTGGTGGTTCAAATCCACCAGCCACTCTGCAGAAGCAAGACAGGCAATCTACTTCCATAAAGATTTACTGCCTCAGAAACCTAATGGGAGTCACTGTAAGTCAGAATTGACTCAATGGCCTTGGGTTAGAATCCTGTGGTGGGTGTTATATTACCAGCTTATTGCTAACTGGAGAAGCTCTGGTAGCATAGTGCCTAAGGCACTTGACTGCTAACCAGAAGGCTGGCGGTTCAAACCCACCAGCCACTCCTTGGAAGGAAGGTTGGGCAATCTACTTCCATAGTGATACTGCCTTGGAGACCCAAGAAGGGGTCGCTATGATTCAGATCCAACTCGATGGCACATAACAACAACAACAGCATTGCTAACTGGAATGTCATGTGGGTAAAGAAAAAAAAAAACATGTGCGGAGTGGCTATTGCATACTTTACAATAAGCAAAAATGATAAATTTAGATTTCAGATATTTTGAGATTTATTTCTAAAGTGAGTAGATTGCATATTATGTCTTTGTTAACTTTGTTTTTTATAACAAAGATTATAGATTAAATTTATATGATACATCTATGCCTGTATGCCAACATTTTTAATAGCCCTATCTTCTAAAACTTAAAATATGAAACAAATGAAGTTACTAGATACATTTCAGAATTATTCTTTCAGAAGAATCTAAAGAGAAAAACTGATATAGTGTAACACTTAAAGTATGGGCTTTAAGGCAAGGTAGAAATGAAATCAGAGAGAATAGCAGAAAAAATGGAATTATAGAAAATAAAAATGGTAATTTCAATATTTAAACTAAAATTATGGTGTAGAACTCTTGAGACATGATCAAAACATGTGTATTTCGTTTCATGAGTTTTAATTTTGTCAATTACAGTTTTAATTCCACTTATCCCGGAGGGAACTGTGGTCACTTCAAACCATTTAAGTGTAATAAAGCAGTATGCATCAATTGAAAATAGTTTTATTATTTTATTAATTTACTATGTTATTCCAATTTAAGAGATTTATATTTTTCACACTGAGTTTTTTTAATAGCCTATGTCTTTATTTTCAAGAATGAGAAAATATTAAAAAAAAACTTTCCTCTTATTTTTTGTAATCTCACATTATTCAACTTTTTTCATTATCCCACACTTTCACCATATTTTAAAAGAGAAACTGTTAAAGCAATAGTATTATATACTTCATTATCATCAGTTTTTCATTTCATTTTAATCTGTTCTCTAGTTAAAAAAAAATATTTTCCAAAAATGGACTATTAGTACTAGGGACTGTTATGACAAAAATATTTTTGTCTATTTATTTTCATCATTTGAGTATGTTCTTTCATAGACAGTAACTACTTGAACTGTTAAATAGTATTGAACCATTTAAAGTTCATCACAGTGTTAAAGTAGCTTTATATTAAATAAAAATAAAAATAAAGTAGCTTTATGTTATAAAAAGAATATCTGAAATTTATTGTTTTTCACCATTTTGAAAGGCCAAAAGAACATTTTTGAAGTTGCATCAAATTTTATATTAAAGTAGGAAAGATTTGAAATGTAGTCCATTAGATCTTCCTCAGTTTTTTTTTAATACTGAGTTAATGAAACTTCTATCACTTTATTTTGTTTTCAGTAGTTCTATAATTGTTTAGATGCAATCAGGGGTTGCATAATTTTATATTTCATATATGGTACTTTCTTTGAAGGCAATTAACAAATGATATATATAATGAGAAACAGACTTGATTTAGACTACATTTCAGTTTCTATAGGGGTAGGCATTGAACTAAAGAAATTGATGGCATTTAATATTTGGGGAGAATATATTGTTTGACATTTATGGTCAGAGGACAAAGTTGATTAATATATATTCATTGCATAGTTCATGCTTAGTATTCTCATGAAACTAAATGTTATATGTAAAGACTGTACAACTAAATAAAATTTTGTAAGTATAATTAAAAGTAATATTCTCAAGTGTTATTTTACTATTATATATAGTTTTGATATATCATGCATTGGTAAATCTAGAAGTATGCAAAATTTCAAGTTTGAAGTTTTCTTCTGTTGACTCAGCTGAAATTAGAGTGTTTACTAAGATTTTATTTTTATAATAATTTCCAAAAAGCTCCTTATAAAATAAACATTCTCTTTGTGTGCTTCCAAAGGCTTCTCCCAAAGAGTCAAAAGAGAACCTACAGATTGGGAAAAAATATTTCGTAATGACATATCTGACAAGGGACTTATCTCTAGAATTTATAGAAAAATCCAACACCTCAATAGCAAAAAGACAAACAATCCAATTA